CTTTCCCTAGCCTTGAGAACAGGATGCAGGGCTATTCAACCTTTGAGCTGGTTTAATAGGGCATTTCCCATGGTACTAAAATCAAGTAATCTATACAAAAGACAAACACAATGATCTGAAAAATAGTGCTTGATTTTTACAAAGCTAAGCAGGATTGTGATAGTGATTAAAGTTATTTTACTCCTGTATAACTGGGTTTTGTTAATAAAATTGGTTATTCCCTACAGTAGTATTGCACAGTTAAGGAAAGGAAAGATAAAGCAGTGTGGGAGAGAGGTAGAGTTAACAGTGTGCACAAATACATAACCCTACCTCAATCTCAACACTTTCTGCTAAGACTGTAAATATAAACTGACAATGAAATGAGACGAAAAGACCACCTACAACAGTCTTACCTAGGACACAAATAGTCCCATCATAGATTATTTCTTTTACAGGATCTCTGTTAACTTTATGAGAGCTTTAATAAATATATAACATGTTCAGGAAGCATATACTATATTTAGGAACTTGTTTGAAATTATGTGATATGAAACTTGTAGCCTAAATAACATCCAAATACATTTCGGATTGAAAAACTCAAGCAAATTATATTAAGCACAAAAACCCTGAAAATGAAGAATGCCAACTGTATTTAATAGTACAATGTAATAAGTGCTACTATTAAAAAACATTTTTACTCAGGAAAATATTTAAATACTACAGCTTCATAAAATAAAGTGAAGTTAAAATTCCTTGATCTTAGGAGGACCTTTATAAAAAGATGAAACTGAATTTAGATATTTAATTAAAATTCTTATAACTGTTTCAGTGATCAGCAGTTTAGTTAATATAAGTCTTCTTATGAAGCAACTGAGTCATAGTTCATGTGACTTTTCAGACATTAAATGTTAAATTGCTTAAGACTTTGTGAGTGATATTGCTCAATTGGGAATACTACCTCACAGAGTCACAATAATGGTTACAACTAGCTCTGCTTACCCGTAGGAGTGTCTCATATAACTGCTCTGACAATACCAGGCTCTGTGTTCCTCACTGTGGTGTATGATACCCAAATCCACAGTAAAATGTAGAGTTCTACTTCAATAGAATAATTCAGAAAATTACCCTAAACTGAGACTCCTTCTATGTAAATTGATTTTTTACCATTAGAAAAAATTATGTGCATTCTAGAGTCACAACTATAAAAAACATTTTGTACTGTAATCAATTATGTAACCATAGGAAAATTCACCTTTTCATTTTTAAAAGGAAATACACTCTTCCCTGACTAATAACCTTTTGCTGTTCTTTGAACAAACTTTTCCTTTAGTTATATATTATACATTATATCATTTTATCACATCACTGTTCTGAAATGGTTTGCCTGGCTCAGCATTAGATGCAGTGACTGCCTCCATTTTTGACACTTCTTTAAGTAAATAATCTTGTTTTTCCAAGTAAGCGATCTTCTGAACCAAACTCACGTCTGCCCTCAAAAGAACAGTTGTGATGTATTGCCCCCATTCTCCTAATATAACTTTCTATTCTCTGGGAAAGACTGTCATTTATTAGTCTTAGGAGCACTGTTGTACCAGAATGACCCCTCCTTTTAAGACCCAGCAAAGAAATTACAGCTGGTATTCTTCTTGTTGAAGTATGCAGGTTGCATAACCAATGTAATGAACACACCCTTTAATGGTGAGCATATCAAAATTTCTGCCACTAAAAACATTCAAATACTTGTGGTTTGTGCTGGGCAACCTAAATTGGCTTTTTATCTGGGTGGAACTGACCAGGGGCTGACAATAAAGGCTTTTCTGTACAGTCACTGGTAAGTTTTAGGGAAGATGGAAAATGAAACCGAGAGCCTCTTGCCCACCTGAATCTAAACCTGCTCTCTGATTTGCTGTAGAGTGAAGACTTGACAGGGACACTGAGACTGACTCTGGAGCAGCCCCACAGGCAATTTCTGATTCTGGAGTGCATCAGTGGGCTTGTGTGAGCAAACAGGGAAAAGGTGTCCTCCAACCTGTCCTCCCCAAGCTCCACTGCTGACATTTAGGCAAGGCCAGAATTAGGAAAAAGATCTTTGTGGCTACAGTGCATTAAGATCTACATGCAATCTTTGAGGTTTTCACTTACCTTTAACCTCCAAGTGGTGGTTGTTGAAGGCAATATATTTACCAGCAAACAATGTAAGCATTACAATATGAAAAAAGAGTCTAAACATCTGCTTACCTTTCTGAAAGAACTCTTCCAGTTTATCTTTGAAGGGCTGGAGATGTTGTTCTGAAGATTCTCTACAAACCACTCTCATTTGTTTTTCACAGGCTACAAACAGAAGTTCAGGGTTAGATAGTTTGAAGCCACGTATTTAACTGACAAGCTTTAAAAATAATTATATTATTTCTAAAGCAACTCATCTACTATTCCACATTTATCAAGCAATACTATTTCACACTTGTTCTAATTGTATAAGAGTTAACCCCCCCCCCACCCCAGCCACAGAAACTGCTGTAGTGTGACATAGCAATGAAGTTCAGGAAATGTCGAAGAGGCGATGTATTTTTTATTGGACCAACTATATAGTTGGGAGATCTGATGAACTTAATTTCCTTAAAATAGCAACATTTTAGTTTATTTGCCTTGGAATTCAGCATTTGTATGATTTGCTTGTAGTACAGCTGGGTGAAAAACAAAGGGCTTGCCCTCATTGTAGCATTAGCTTCAGCATGAACTTGAGTTTTGCCTCAGTCTAACAGGAGTAATACACACTGAATTTTACCATCAAAGGGAACTTCACACACAAGTTTTCTGGCCTTCTGTGGGAGGGGCATGGCACAAGCAGGAGCAAGAATATGTCATTATAATGCATCTGTTACCTAATCTACCAAATAATTTAGGTCCTGGTGCCATCTCATTTCCTAGAGAATTCAAATTAATTGCTACAAAATTTAAGCACTACTTTGGGATGTCTTAGTAGACATTGCAGAATCTAGGGGTCCCCGATTATAAGAAAAAACCTCAACAAACCAATAAAACAAAACAAAATATAAAGCAGTACTCAAATATTTTGCATCAAACAATGTAAAAAAGCACAAGCAAGTATTTTTTCTTCTCCCTTATACCAAATGTAGGTTAATTAAGGTTAATTAAGGTGCATATTTATTGCATAACTAAACAAAAGAGTTATTGCATGCTGATTAAAATAACAAGCCAGCCAGCTTCTCTCTAGTTTAATAATTCATTTTATTCCTAAAAATTGAGTATAAAATGTAGTTGCACAAGGAGAAAATGTGTAATTGACAAAAATTGTCATGTTAATATGAGTCACATTTGTAGTTTTCAACACAGAGAAAGGAGTTGCCAAAAGAATGTGAATACATACATGCATTTTATTGTACAGACAGTAATACAGCCCATGATACATTTGGACCACCAGGACTACTTAAACAAAGAAAACACTCCAACAATTTAAGTTTGAATTTCAGCTAAAAACAAAGAAACCCAAAACTACATTAAAAATGAAATTCTAACATCGTTAGAAAAATATTGCCTTGATATTCATTTCTGCACAAAATGCTTACAAGAAAATATCTAGTCCATCTAAAAGTTTTATATATTTAATTTCCATGGCTTAAATGAACAGAGTTTAAAAGTATTAAGAATACAGCTATAGAGAAAGTCTTACCAGATAATCCATATTGTCCTTTTCTTACAGACTATGTTTTAATTAATCTTTAAGCCCCAAGCTTGCAAATTATAGCACAGCATGGATACTTGAGACTTTGCAGACTGAAAGCAATGGGTATTTGCTTGTGCAAATCTTATACAAAATCTAGCTGTCAGACTGAAACTGTAACTTGCACACATGTGCACATACACACATGCATAGATATATAATATAATATAATATAGGTAGATATAGATATAGATACATATATATCTTAATTTAGATATGTATGTATGCATGTATAATAGATATATATCTACATCTATATCGATATCTATATATCTATTAGATGCATGTATACGTACATATCTACAGTAAACCCTTTCTTGCCTGCCCAGTTACAGAAAAAGACTGTAAAACAAATGAAGGGAATACATTAGAAGACAGAAAATAATTCTCAACATAGAAATATTATTTTCTTCATGACATGAGCTTTTGCCACTAAAAACTTGAACTTTACATGGCTGTGGAAATATATTGAATGAAACTTATTTACACTGCATTTCAGTTTATATAAATGGAATGAGGTTCCCACAGTTACTCAGACAGATTGTAATATTTTATTTGTGGACTAGACAGGGATACTGTGAATTGAGCAGGAAAAAATCTAAACAAAATACTTGAAAAAGCATTTTTAAGTTCTCTTATTAAAGGTTGGCACAAATTAGAAGCTACAATTTTGTGGCTACTTTTCCTGTTTATTTTTAAAAAGAGTCTAGACAGAAAATGCCACATGAAGTAGATTTTAGCAATGATTTCAGTTAAAATATAAAATGACAAAAAGTGTGAAATGAGTAGTATATGTATTTCAACTTTTTAAGCTATGATGTGGCATGCTGGCTGTGTTTTAAGGCATGATTTAAGAACATTAGCATTACAGGAAATTATGTTAAGACAAACAGCAAAAACACATTCTTATTACGCGTGTTTATTATATGGTGGCAATTAGTTTATTATGTGGTCTCTCTGGGCACACTTTATATATGCTAGAATGATACCAAACAGCTCCCCCAAGCAGATGACATACTTTATTGTTTTTTCAAGTATTCAAAACCATGTTATAAGCAGCCCCCTCAAGCAGCACAAATTAAAGGTTATATAGTTTATCAGGTATAGGAGTACATTACCACTCCTCCAAATAAATTGTTTAAAAAAATGATTGCTAATAGAGAAGACTGAAAAAAAAAAAAGAGCAGGTGCTAGGAGTCACAGAGAGACTATAGAAAAGGTCTCATGATATGTATGTCACCATGGTGCCAAGCACACACTATGACATAGTCCAGGGGTTTTCAACTTTTTTGGGTCAGTGTACCCCAGCAGCTGGATGCTGAGCAAGGGGGTGGGGTGTGTGTGCAGCCGGACACCGAGTGGACAGTGCGGGGAGGTGGTGCACAGCTGAATGCAGAGCAGCAGCAGCTGCTGCATGCGACCTTCGCCCACCCCCCACCTCCCACATCTGGCCGGGTGGGCGGTGCCAGTGCAGGATGGTGCATGGCAGCAGTCCATCCCTGCCCACCTGCACATACCCCCACTAGGGCCATCTCAAGAACCCCCAGGGTTATGCATACCCCCAGTTGACAACCACCGACATAGTCAATCACGTGTCAGTGCTTTGATCGGGGTGCTTCCATGATGTCTTCCATTTGTTGCTTTGGTGGACTAAGGAATTTATGATGATGAGATGATGTCCTGAACACTTGCTCAGGAGAAGGAGTCCATTTAAATTGACTTTTCCACCCCTTACTTTTCAAGGGTTCTTGTCCATAGAGTCCCTTCCCATTCTAGCATTGAAATCATTAAGAGGAATTATCTTGCCTTCTTCAGAGACCAAAGTCAAGACTTGGTCAAATTTAGAATAGAATTCTTCTTTTGTTTTACCATCTGCATCAAAGGTCAGTGGTGACTATTGCATGTTGTTTGTTGGTCAATTGGGCTAAGTACTGACAGACAAAAAGCCTGAGGCTGAATCGATTCAATCTTTGTGGGTTAGTTTAAGCTGTGTAGACTGAACTGATAAGCCAGAGAACAGACATTCACTTTTGATTCTGGGAATGCAGCAACTTGTCTGCAGTGGTCCAGGCCAGAAGTCGGGGCAGGGGGGAGGGGTGCAGTGTGCTATGGCACACCTCCCTGCTTAGCTGGAACAATCATCTTGGGCCAAAGCTAGCCCACCCACCCTGCAAGGTGAAGAGGGTGGGGGTTGCAGGGAAGGTAAAAAGCATCCTGGGATCTTGGGGGGCTGTGAGTTATCTTGAATCTGGAGGGGAACTTGGGACAGAAGTTCAACTAACTGATTTAACCTAAATCAGTGAAGTCTGATACTACATAAGTTCACTGCACATAAGCCACTTTCAAAATTGCCCAAACTGGTTTAAGATAAACCTATAAGGATGTGGTATCAAACTTCACTGATATAGGTTAAATCAGCTTATTGAACTTCTGTCCCATATCTGCTCCAGATTCAAGTTCATAGATTTCATAGACATTAGGGCGGGAAGGGACCTCAGAAGATCATCGAGTCCAGCCCCCTGCCCCAGGGGCAGGAAGTCAGCTGGAGTCACAGGATCCCAGCAAGATAAACATCCAAATTTCTCTTGAAGGCATCCAAAGTAGGTGCTTGAACCACCTCCAATGGCAGGCTATTCCAGACCCTGGGGGCTCGGTCAAAAAAGAAGTTCTTCCTTATGTCCAGCCTGAAACAGTCTTGCAGGAGTTTATAACCGTTCGACCTTGTCATCACTTGGGGCACTCTGGTGGTTTGCACCTCCCTGCACACCCTCCCCCGAAGGGTGGTGAGGCAGACTTGGCCCAAGATGTCTGCTTCAGCTCAGCAGGGAGGCATGGTTTGGTACCTACCAGCTTCTGGCCTGGGCCACTGCAAGCATGTGGCTACATTTCCAGAATCAGAAGTGAATGTTTGTTCACTTGCTTATTGGTTCAGTCTACTCAGCCTAGACTAACCTATGAAGATTGAATCAATTCAGCCTTGGGCTTTTTGACTATCTGTATTTAGCCCTGTTGTATTATAGATTTGAACTGGTTTATGATTACTTTTACCAATTTATATGTAATTTTTGACAAAGACAGAAGACAAAGGGTCACAAGTTATTCACTGATGTCAAATGAACTTCTCAGCATCTGAGTAATAATCTTTGTCTTCACAGCAAAACTAATGCCATGAATATATCCATCTTTTATGACTTTTCTTTCCCACAAAAAGGTGTAGCCACCACCATGTTCTGTGAGCTGCCCCTATCCTACACATCTGGTCTCACTAAGTGCAGCAATGTCAATATCAAATTGTGTAAGTTCTCTGATTGTAGATGCTGCCTTTTGCTTTGGATGGTCACTTTTAGGATTATCCATCAGAGTGCAAGTGTTCCAGGCTGAAAACTTCATTACTTGGTTTGGACTGCAGTTAGAGTGATTTCATTAGATGTGGTTCTCCAATCAAGTAAAATGAGACCGACTATGCTTAGGCCACCATTTCTATTTCCTCCCCACTGGGGGTGAACAGAGTGGATCCTAAATAGGTCTGCTCATTATTGTATTTGCCAAATTGCACACTGGTCAGTTCCAAGTACAAAACAACCATCAT